CTTCGTCTGGCGAACATAGAGTGTTCTGCTGGCGAATACCAGGTTGGACGCCGGTCTTATTTCCAGCGTACACCTAAGAAATACGTATCTCAACATACCTAGCGTTTCTGTTCAACGCTACCGACCAGTATTTATGATACGTAGTGGTCGGTAGATCAATATGTATGATTCGTAACGTATCATCGTGAAATTCTTGTGGCTAGTTATTATCTCAGTTTGTATGGTAGTGCCCTCTAGCATGCCAAGATTACCAACCTATGGCATCGCAGCGTTGAGATGTGAACACGCATCCGGTTCCTGTTAATTGGACTGTAACATGAAAACATGTTACCTTCAAGCTGAGCTCAGTGAGCTTCTGGTTGATCAGCAATCCGCAATGACAGCACAATCCCTCGATGAAGAGGTGGTTAAGGCTGTGAGGGGTTTCTGGTTAGGGTGGACTTGGGTCACTTTCTGCGGGCTGCATCATGTCCGCTACAGAACCGATATCAACGCGTGACACAGTGGGTCAATCGTGATTTCGTTTATGTGCTGCAACAACAGCACATGTTCTCATCATGTCGTGGCAAGACTGTCGTTGCACCCGAGAATTGAATTGTGGCAGCCCGAATCGGGCTGTAGTGATATGTGGAGTAACAGCGTTACAGCAACGCTTTAACGGCTTGAGTAACTGGTATCAGCCTGATACCAGTGACAACAGACGTTTCCGCTTCCTCAGCGCTCCGAAGGACCCGTTTGTGCGCCTCTTACTTGAACCTGAGGGCATTGAATCGTCCCTGGAAAGTGAATGTCAGTCCATCATCGCGGCCCGTGCCCATTTTCATATTCACCGTCGAGTCGTGGTAGTGTGCGACTGGCAGACCGGGTGGCGTTCAGAGCGTTATCCTGAATAAATCAACGTGATGCCGTCACAGCGACTATTTTATGATGCGGTTTCTCAGCAGCAGCTTGTTGTGTTCCATTCTAATGTCCAGTCCACCGACAAAACGGCTGAAGCGGACCAGCTGCAAGCACGGTCATCGGGCCGCAGCCACCCCTGAGACGCAAGAGCATCAGCGCATCTTACGTCGAAAGGTACATCTCAGAAGTTGAGTAGCGTGCAGTCTGAGATTGAGAGTGGCGAATGGTCGAATAGGGTTCAGTGAATCGTAGACTTTCGTAGCTCGTACATTATCGCTTAGTGGAGTATTCTGCATTGCATTATGTATAGCTCATGGACTATCGCTCAGGTCAACAATTCTAAGCTCGGCCGGTTCTTCTCGGACTATGCCTCTCTCAGTACTGAAGGCTCAGAAGGGCGAGCAATCGGTGTAGATGGAATTGAACGGTGAGTTCCGATCTCCTCCTGTCTTTTGCATCTGCGGATGGCATCGCCAATAGGTTGTGTGATGATCTCGGCAATGATCCTATGGACGAAGCTTGGTTGACGATAGCTTACTATTGTCAGGCAGAAACCATGGGCGAGTTTACTAAGTAATGGTAGGGTAGCAAATGGTTGCAGTGGCTTGTTGGAAAATGCAGTCGACCCGTGAGAACCTCACTTCGAGGTTGACAGAATTCGCTAGGATTAGTCTTGGATGGAATCCCCCCAGACGCGGTGAATGTTTAGGTCGGAATGGACTAACGGTATGCAGCGAATCGGAGTGGACTCGATGGATGGCTTGCGTAATGTTCTGCCGGAATTGCGGAAAGAGATTGATGAGGACCGCAACTCAAGCGAGCAAATATATCGATACGCATTCACGTATTCACTGGATTCTGGCGCCAAGACATTGCCGGTGAGAATAGCGACCAATCTGTCTGTCTTTTGTTATGTCTGCATTTGTCATTGCGGGTGTGCATTGCCGTGGTGATGACTCTTCGTGTAGATAGAAGGGTGTCTGCAGCTATGGTCTATCTTCCTCAAGCCTCACTGGACGCTCTATTCTCAGTGGGAAAAATTCGTGAAGGCAGAGTGTCGTCATAATGTCAGCAAAGATACGTGAGTGAAATCAAACCATTGAAGTGGTTGTTGATTTGTGCTGTTGACAGTTACCAGATGCTTTGGGAAGCTGCGACCGGTGCTATGCGAGATGAAGATACTATGAGATCCGACTATGATATAGCAGGCGGTGCCTGGCCTGTCATGCTTGATGACTTCTACACTTGGTTTGTGGACCCTGATCGGGAGAAGAAGATAGGCGCTGCTGCTGATGATAGCAGCAGTGATGTGGAGATGCAGTGATACTTGCTCGACGTGGATGTACTAGTTTGTTTTCTGCACTTGATTGGTCACTTCGAGTTAGTTCCTAGGGAAGGGGTCAGCAGCACTATGTTTCAATGTCGGCACCAGCGGCAGATTTGAGCTATGTGGTATTGGCTGGTCTCTCGGCCTTTGGGTGCGCGGCTGTGGCAGTCGGTGGTGGTATAGGAGGAGGTAGCTGGAGCCATGACGTGATCATAATTCTAGTGCTAGGCTCATACAGGTGCATTGTATATGCCGGCCTTTGTGGCAGTGATGGGAGATGCCCATTGGGCTGTTCCTCTGTCTAAAGTGGCAATCAATGGTGTCGCAGTCAGTGCGACGATATTCAACCTACGTCAGAGACATCCTACATACGATCAGGTGCTGCTGAGTGGACGGGCCTTTCTCGAGTGTTGCCCTCTTTATTAGCCTTTAATAGACCTGGACATCGGGCTCTTGTTGGAGCCGCTTACTCTACTTGGTAGTATGCTTGGGGTGTACCTTAACGTGGCGATGACCAGCGTAGAGATATTCTCTTGCTTGGTATTGGTACTATCTATTACAGCAGCCTTGACGTACTACGGAAGCCCTCCTGAATACTCGAAAGTGTTCGTGATATTAGGTTTAGGAAGGCTATCCAACGACGACGGTTGGAGGAAGATGCCTCCGTTGACGACGGTCTGGGTGGAGCGGAGATGGGCCTTCTGGTCTCAGCCTCTGCTCGTCCTTCCTCGGTGCGGCGTCGTTGCTGACCATGGCAAAGGAGGTTGTCGCGCCTTAGGGAGTGGATCGTAGTGTTGTCGATAAAGCGAGCAGGATTCTCCGGGAAGAGGCTAGTCTCCAGCCCATGAAAGCTTGGGCACTACTTGTGCTCTGGCTTGCTAACGGTAGTAGTGATGAACATAGCGTGCCCATTTGTTGACCGCTATATAGGCGCTCTGCTTTACCTGGCCGAGGGGCCGGCTGAACTGTTGTGTGGAGGGACGGCTCAGAAGGTACCTCTCTTGAGTGGTGGGAACGCGAAATCCCATCCCTGTCAGGCTATGGTATCTACGGTCGTCGTTTTATGTATTCTCGTTACTGGTATTGTTCGTGGGCGTCTTCTTCGTCAACAGTGAGAGCCTCCGGTACCCCATTTGTGTGGCAGTATAATAATCAGGGAGCTCAGGGATGAGGCCGGCCTCCCTCCCTCGCCTGTGGTCTATAACAAAGTCAATACCATCGTCTATCCCCTCTTGAGCTGCTTCGCTGGGGTATGCGCAGGCTGCCTTGGCATAGGTGGAGGCCTTATAAAGGTGCAATGCTGCAGTCTAGGGAAGCTCTCCAGTGCTGGGTGTCAGGGCCCATTGCTGCTCCAGCTGGGCATGGTCCCCCAGGCTGCCACTGCCACTAGCATATGGATGATACTATTCACTTCCAGCAGTAGGTAGTACCTCAGCCTCGTCATCCTATGGCCCTCCTCAGGTACTTGTTTGCAGTTCGCCCTGCTTGGTCGCCTATCCCTGCTACCATCAGTAGTGGTGTGGTTGCTCAGCTTTAGTGGGGCTTGGGCGGGCAGTCGGATCTTGGTCAGGAAGATCAAAGAGTCTGGAAGGCAGTCGACTGTGGCATTTCTCATGGGTGAGGGAGAGTAGCAATAGTAGTAGTAGTAGTAGTAGAGGGCTCTCACCTCAGCTGCTTTGATAGTCGTATCAATGCTCTGTATGGTGGGGGTATCTGTATACGACCATATGTCTGCCAAGGCTGGAGGTCTGAGGAGTAGGTCGGACTTAACGCCTATTGAGATCTGCGAATTGATGAGACGCCGAGGGCCCATCGGATGACGATTCACCATGAGCATGCTGACTATGAATGTTTCTCATTGGTATGCGGCCTTGACTTGTCGGAACTGTGCTGCCTCTCACAAGGGCGGTAACTCTTCAACGCACTAAGGAATTTTACGATGGCGACTTTGATGGTTTGCGGACGTCTTGGGAGGTCGGTGGCATTACGTTTCTCGTCGTTTCCACATGTTGATCTGTTACTCGGCCTTTACTACCTGGGTATGCTTCTGGGCGAGGTTCTCATCGTTATGATCAGGCATCACTTTGGGGGTGTAGGTCAAGTCAGCCACTCAACGTTATTGGTTCTTGGCGACGTGTGAGGGGATGAATCTTTAGTCTTCATATTTTTATCTGATGCCCTGTGGATGGGGTGCTCGATGGCGATCGGAACTTGTAAGGCGGGGCAAGCGGCATTGGAAGGAAGCTACCCTTGCCGAATTCAGTGGGTCTCTCGGTGATCTCGGCACATTTATTCCCCTAGCAGTCGGCATGTCTATCACAGCAGGTAAACGTTTGCCGCTGTATTGGTCATACTGGTTGGTTTCCTCTTAGGCCTGGATTTCAGCACTATCCTGATATTCACTGGTGTCTACAATGTAGCCTCTGGTGTTCTGTTCGATGCCCCCATACCTGTACAACCTATGAAGACCATTGCCGCTGCTGCGATCGCACAAGGGGTAGTCTCCTCCTCCTCCTCCCGCTGCCTACTATCGTGAGATCTGTAGTTGACGTTGGGCGCAGTGGCAGCAGCGGGCATCTTCGTGTCAGCAGTAGTGCTCGCACTTGGACTGTTGAAGTGAGAGAGGCTTAGCTGAATGTGAAGTGGTGAAAGGCTGGCCTTAGCTTGACGACGTTACTGGAGTACATTATACCGTTGTCTATCGTACGTGGCATACAGCTGGGTCTGGCAGTGTCGCTCTTCCACAAGGGATACATGTACGCGGTAGTCGTCATTTATCGGCACCACAGGTCCTACAGGTACCTTTTGGTTCGGCATGTGGATGGATCCTTGATATGGAATCCTGTCGAGCAGACTGACAGTTTCACACTAGCGCTTCTCGTCTCCGTGAGAGGGCGGCTACTGTGGGGAGGAGAATTTTATGTTGATGATATTTGTTGGTTGTCGGCTTTATAAGGATTATCGTGATTCGACTGAGGTGAATGCTGTGAGAGGTATCTGGTTCGATTCCCGCAGGTGACGTTATTGGTTTTGCTGAATTTATCACCGCCACTACGAGTTCCTCCCCCAGCTGCGTTGATCGTGTTCCTATTGGGCCTCATCATCACCATTGCGTGCTACTGGTCGGAGATTCCCATCGACAGGTTCGGCCCGAACATCTCGGTGGTTGCGATAAGTGGGCAGGACTGGCTGGACGGTAGTACTATTCGTCTCAGTGAGGCTCCATTCATTCGTACATTGCCTTTTGGTGGCCCCGCCATAGTGCAGTCGACCTGTGGATCTTGTCACTGGATAGGTATCCTCAACGGTGGTCTGCCTCAGCTGCCTCTCACTCTTCTTAACTCTGTGATATCGGTATGCGCCTTGGCAAGGGAACTCTTTGGGGAGGACTGTAGAGGCGGCAGCACTAGGCATATGGCAGTTAGCGTTGGTGAGGCAGCAGGGACCATAGAGAGGGCGGGAAGCGGTAGTGATTAGGTCTGATGAACCTGCTTGGGTGTTGGTTCGGAGCTATGCCGTGCTGTCATGGCTGTGGCGGCTTGGCTGCTCAGTATAGATTCGGTGCCAGGACGGGAACTAGTGTTGTTATGCTGGGTGAGCAGAGGGGGGAGTGTTTTCGTCTACTATGTGGGGGGGGGCGTGTGGAAGACAGTCTTTGTCAGGCGTTCTCAAGCTATGTATAGGCCTGATATTCGGCCCTCAACTGTTGCATATCCTTCGCGCTTACCCCGGGGCAGTCTTAGGGCCGATGCTGTGTATAGCAGCTGGGGAGTTGGGCGTTCAGTCACTGAAGGAGAAGGGAAATCTCCTACTAGAGCTGCAAGGTGTGTCACTAGGGCATCCAATCCGTCCTTGGGAAGGTTGAGTGGCAGATCCCTCTCTGGCTTCGTGGTTGCTGTTCATCACTGCTGCTGCCTGCGTAGCTGCCGGCTCCACGGGCTGGGGCTTTGCCATCGGCTATGGCGTATGGGCCATCGTAGCGGGGGTAAGGTGGCTTGCTCGACGATGGTAAGTCGGCATGCTGCACTACGTGGAGGAGTGGGCTCCTGTATAGTTGTGGTATCCCAAGGCAGTATGGGGAGGATAGCGAAGAGGCCTCGTCATCTGCGAAGGGCCAAGCCTGTGTCAAGTCACCCCGAACTTGTGACACTAGAAATGACTTTGTTAATTTGGGTGCGAATGAACGGATGTGTAGGGTTTGAGCATCTCTGGTGATTGCCAAAAAGTTTCCCATGGATTGGTCATCGTCGTTGAGTTTAGCGGTGGGAGGTCGACTATGTTTCCTGATGAACTATGCGGCTACTTGTGTGAATTTCTGAGCCCATGGTCGTTTATTGGTGTTCTGGTAGTGGCTGACGGTATCAGTAGTTGAACAATGACGGGCGAGTCGGCATTTCTACGGGAGAAGTTGTCCAATCTCAAGGAGGAGCTACGGAAGCAGAAGGAGCTCAATCTGACTCTGCAGACAGTGGACAGGAAGAAGGCTGAGGAGGAGCAGGGGAGGTTGAAGAAAGCGTAGTAATCGGATGGGCCTCACTGCACGTCTTCCGAGCGACCTGAGTTTTATGGAGGAGAGGAGGAACTCTGTGGTAGGTATGATGACTTGCAGGCCGAGACGGTGCAGATGCGGTTGCAGTTGGAAGCCTTCAGGAAGCAGCAGGAGGCTGAGGAGGCGGCAGCGATGGGAGTGAATGGAGGCGTCTCTGGGGTGCTGGGAATGGACACCTCTGACGAAACCGCGGACTTAAGAGAGGCTCTAGACGTATGCTGATGGCAGTATTGTCGTTGGGCATTGTATTTGTTGCCAGGCTGAGAGGGAGAGGTGCCAAGTGTTGGAGAGTCGGCTGATGGAGGTTCAGAGCCAGGCGCGTTCGGGGAGCTCAGCGGCTCCTTCTCCTTACATGGAGGTAGAATCCTCGCCCGTGGGGGCAGTGAGGGATAGTAGTGGTAGCAAGGACGTGGTGGAGGCGGAGGAGGAGGAGAGTAAGGGGAAGAAGAGGAAAAGGAGGGATACTGGTGATAAGAAAAAGGAGGGTAGTAAAAGCAAAAAGAAGAAACACAAACACAAGGAGTCTGCAGGGGAGGAGGGTAGGATCATGATGATCATCGCCTCGCCCAACTCGGCTATTAGGTGAAATATCAGATCCTATAGCTGAGATATTTCCTCTCCTCGATAGCGGCGACCTAGTATCCGCGTCAAAGCTCGTAGTGCGTTTCTGCTACTCTTGCGGTGTCGAGAACAGTATCGCCCTACGGAACCGTCTAGCACTGGTAGGTCGTGTTGGGTGGGGCTCGATAGACCTCTAGTTCTTCCTCCTAAGGTGCTCTCGGAGATTGCGTTGTACCTAACAGGACGGAGAGGAGCTGATGGGCTGCTATCGAACATGTGTTGTCTGGTCATCCTAGCTACAGACGAGGTAAGGCTCCGTTGCAAGGTGGTGTGAAGTTTGGCTGATCAGGCTCAGCTGTTGGTCCGCGCCTTGTATTCAACGAGCTTAGAGCTGGCTGGGCCGGCCCCAGATGCTTGCCGTTTGATAATAAAGTCTCTGAAGGAATGTTGTCGGAAGGTAGTGAGTCGATCAAGAGGAATCGCTACTGTTGTTATCAGCTGAACCTGACGGCACCCTTGGCATGTATGATGTGGCATCAGCAGTGTGGGCCTCCTCGGAATCCGGTGGCGAGAGAGGCCATGTTGGAGGGAGAGGCCTTTCAATGCGACTTCAATGCAGTCGTTGAATCTGCCACGGCACCTTCTGTGAAGACCCTGTGTCTGTTCCACGCAGCGTTGGTAGGAAGCAGTCTTTCGGCGGAGGAGCGGTATACTCTTATACGGAAACTAGCCGAGAAACATGGAGGACAGTAGGCTGGACGTAAATGGAAGCCTTTCTTGTGATAGCTGCTGATCAGACCTGATATCAAGTGCCGAGTACTTGCTATGATGCCTGCAGTAGGAGATAGTAACCTTATCCGCTTGGCAATCAACGAGGTCTTATCTTGGCCCGATGCCAGAAAGGGTCGGAGAGAGCTGCTCGACTTCTTACAAGCACACCTTTCCTCGATGCTGGCTATGGGCAGCAACAGCACTACGTAAACACTTGTATATTTACTCCTATCATTGGTCGTTGTAGCATTTCGTACATTAATAGAAGTACTAGTACCGGCTACCTTGTCACGTGGCGTTGTGGCTGGGTTCAATGGGTTGTGGTTCGCCTCGTTATTGGATGATCAGTATGCCCCCTGTTTTAAACAATGTCATCTGAGCGCCGAAGTCAACGTACCTCCAGCGCTACCAACTCCTTTAGGTAGGGCTAGCCACTATAGGGGCGGCATTCTACGTGTTTTTCTGTAGAGCATTTGATGACGATGACGATGAAGCTTTCGAGGCGATGTTGAGAGCTGGCGATCCAGGTGGGACTACTGTGGAATAATTCTCTATTATGGCGAGTCCAGTTGATTTGAGATAGAGAGCTGGATACTGTTGCATTGCTATGCGGTGCTTGGTACACCGGACAACGTTGAATATTTTTCAGGAGCGGATGAGGAGGACACACCGCTTGACCCATCTGAGATCCCCACGGTTGTCCATCCTTCTGTAGAACAGATCGTCTATAGACGCCCAGTCATACCTGATGACGAGCCTGAGCCGGGTAGGAGATCCCGGGTTCGATTCCGGGTGAGGGTATTTCATGTTGTAGGTGAGGACTTCCGGTACATGTGTAAATTGAAGGGCCAGAGCTACTTGCATCTAGTGTCGTTGAA